TAACAAAGAGATCAGGGGGCCACCGCCGGTGGCAGAGGGGTCACCCATCACCACGGATGTATCAAAGGATCGAACCGAGAATAATTGTGGACAGACGTGCACTCCCTGGTCTATGTGCATACGTCATATTTGAAAAGGCCCTCGAGGGACGTATCCCCCGGGGGATACAAGGATCTATCTCTTTCCGGGTTGATGTCAATTCCTGACTTACCCGTTAAGAGTATTACTATGGTTTCGTCATTGGCTAATAAATCTACCCAAACGACTCACCGGCCAATCAAAAGCATGTTCATTTTAGGTCTACATATGTAAAAAGGACAATAATAGATCTACAGAAACCATATCGATATGCTTAGATGAATTTTTTTATCAAAAATATAATCAACAATAAAAGCAAAGCAACCCATAACCGACAGGAAAATTTTATACAGAATGTCCTATCAAATAGATTTGGTTTTAAGCCCGAGCCCGAAAAATTAGGCAATGATGGAATTGTGGACTTACAAACAAAAACTCACAGGGCCTTGATATCCGTGGGGGGCAACCATGTTGGGAAGGGGGAAAAGGGTCCCTTGCACCCCAGGTAAACTTAAGAAGGGGAGAGCTTCAATAAGCAATTTTATCAAATCTCCCCATAATGAAAAGTTTTCTAAACCAGCCCAGTCATGTATAAATCTTTATAATTATTTCAAACAATATTCAGGGGCTTTCAAGCCAAATACAGAAATTAAACATTTTATTGATAATAACCCTCATATTGACATTTTATGTATCCAGGAAACTAAAATGAATTCCAATAAAGAAAAATCAATTCCTGGATACACCCCTGAATATAAAAAATACAAAAAATACTGTTAATTGTAAAAATATAGCAGGAGGGTTATCTTTTTTCATTAAAAATTCAATTAATTATGAGGTCATTACTGTGGACAACCCCATTAATTCCACAAGGAAAGTGGCGTTCGGAGTACAAGCAATTAAGATACACTTGACAGGTGCCTCCTTAGTCCTTGTTAATGTATATTCAAGGGGTGCAGACCAGTTATCACTGAGTAAAATAACTGATCTCATTACTCAAGATAATAATCTACATAACTGTGTGATAACTGGGGACTTAAATCCTCATCACCAAGTATAGGGGTCATCACGCACAAAGTATAGGGGAAGGGAAATTTGGACATGGGTCGAAAACACGGGTTTAGTGCTTTATAAGATTGCTCACCAACTAGGTTTGATAAAGGTTCTAGAACATTCTCATTTATAGACCTTACCCTGGCCTCCCCCAAAATTTCGTCTTCTTGTCATGGGGTGTAGTTGAAGAAAATATGGGATCTGACCACTTCCTTATATCTATTTCACTAAATGCAAAAATTAATGAAAGTTAAAATTCAAGTAAACTAGTAAAATTTAATTATGAAAAGGAAGATTGGTCTACTTTTCATGCTTCGTGTGAGGATATCACTTATGAGGGAGTCTACAGTAATGACATCAATATTTTTCTACTAAATTTAACAGATTAAATAATTTATATGACTGGGCTGGCTATATTGGCCTTCACCCCCAGGTCAGGTAAGCATAAGTCTGTCCCGTGGTGGAATGAAAATTGTCAAAATGCGGTACAGGAAAGAAAAAATGCTATAATAAACTTTAAAAAAAATCAAGACCTGGGAATTTAACCACTTATGAAATAGCAGAGGCCAATTGTAAAAATATCATATTAGAATCTAAAAAAAAAACTGGTCAGAATTTTGTGAGACTGTGTCTACTCAAAAATGTAGTGCAAAATATTTTGTTTAAACATTTAAGAAAACGAAAGGCTCTGCTACAAATCCTGTACCATTATTGAAATTAAATCAAAATTATGGTAAAACTCCCTTTGAAAAGGCTCAATTTCTATAAAAGCACTACAAACAGGTCTCTGATTTTTGGACTGATAAGAATAGCCTTTTATTCCTATTCAAATCTTTAATACGTTCAAAGATAGATTATGGTGCTCAAATCTATTTTTGTGCTAAGAAAACTCAATTAAATAAACTCGATACTGTTCAAAACACTGCCCTCCTTTTGGCCCTGGGGTCCATTCACCCCACATCTGCTAGGGACCTGGAGGTGGAGGCCGGTATTCTACGATTATCAATTAGAAGATAATGTCAAATTTTAAAATATAACACCCGGGTTCGAGCCTCAGATTGGGTCAGGTCACTATAAATTAAATATGTTTTAAGACCCAGTCCTCCCCTTTGGACCTATTGGAGGACTGCGGTATTAAGGATTCAGACCTTATTGTGAGGCGGCCCATGGAGGTTCCGCCGTGGACCCTAACCTTGCCCGAGGTCGACATTACATTACAACATAAAGTGAACAAATCTGATTTGCCGCGTCTCGCAAATTCAGAAACAAAAATTTTAATAAACAAATATATAGGTGAAACTCATATTTATACAGATGGATCCAAGAACCCGAACTCTGGCAGGGTAGCCTCGGCGTTTGTTAACCATCCCTACAATTTGAAAAAAAATAATATTTTAACCAATCAAAACTGCCGAGCTCCTAGCAATTAAAAAAATTTATGTGCTGGATTAATGACAGCAATATTGATAAAGCATAATTGTTTTTGTCTGATTCACTCTCTTCACTGATCTCACTGAAATCTAACAACAGTCAGTCTAGACCATTGTTTGTTGCCCAGCAAATATAGGGATCTTAGGCAATGAACAGGCAGACAGGGCGGCCAAAAAGGGCCTAAACCTCAACAGTGTCAACAGTGAATCAATCTCACTCAATCTTTTATTAAAACATTATTAAAAACACGTTTGACATTTCTAAACAATTAAATAAATGTGGATTGCTGAGGCATAATGTGCATTAAAAAACTTCTATCCTACTTCAACATGATAATTTCTATCTTAATCATATCAACAAAATGACCAAGTTATTACAAAAAAGAAATACGTTTTAAAACATTTTTTGGTGAAACATCAGACATTTTTATGTATAATGGGACACAACTAGTATAAATTGACAATAACAATCTGATGCAGTTGTCTCCCTTCTGCGTAACGTAATTTGAACAAGCCTCAAGTTCTTTGGGTTTTTTTTTCATCCCTTCTTATGATTATTAGCTTTCCTTATAAATACCTTAAATAAAATTGTTCTGTATGTAGAAATATGAAATAAAACCATGGCATTTGCCACTCTGTCGAAATTGTATTTCTCAGTTATCAAATTCTATACTGATCGTTAAAAAACTTTTATATTTGACTAGTTATTTCTCTTTGGTTTTTGTTTATTGACAAACTGTGTCAATCAGAAATCGAGTAGTCGAGCAGTGCAAATACTTTCCGATATATTTTCTGAGTTCTTTATGAAATCCCAAGTAAATAAAACATTCAAATAAACCACCTTAACACCTCGGGACCTATTTCGAATTTCTTGCTTTCTTTCAAAACATTTTTTAATTACATTTTCATCCAATGGAAATAAAGGCATGGTTTTCTTATCTTTGTATACAAATAATGAACTGTACAACTGTCTGATTTCATGTAACAAGGGTAGTTCTTAATATCGTGGAACCAAGCTGGAATAAAATCCTGGTAAAACGCATTGTGTCTCCATCTTAAGTGGCACTGTTTGCATTAGTCAAAACTCGTATCAACATCCACATCATAAAGGAAAATGTATTTAACATTTAAGTACCTTTTTTCCTACTGTGTTTACAAATTTAAAGAATCTCTTGCTCCTTAGGGATCTAACAGAACCATGAGCCATAACATCGTTCATTTTGTCAAATAACAAGATACAATGACCAGAAAAATAGAATAACACTTGATAGCATTGAGTGAAATTATTATTTTTAATTGTATGTTTTTTTTTCACCTGCGACTTACTGCTTAAGTGCTATTTTGGCCGACTCTTTAATTTTTTATCACAAATTGCGTGCCGTCATATAATTATGTAGTGCTTGGATCCACTTATACGTGTATTACTTTATGTATATACTTCATATTTATTATAATTACATTTAATTACTTGTTTAAATGTTCCTTTAAAATTTCGGTCAGCCTTAAAAATCTTTGTTCCCTTTCATAACCCATGCCAGTTTGAGAAGGGTAGTTAACTAGTAAAAGTTGAAAATATGTCGGATTATATGGCCTGATAAGAATTCACTGTTAGTGTTTATATAGCATAAGTTATAATTTTTGTAGTTTGGTGTTTTATGTAATCAAATGTTTAGGCAATCATCTCTATAATTTATTTCTAAACAACAATTTTAAATCTCCGTTGTAATTTCCCCTTCCGTAAATGTGAGCTCTATGTTTATGATAATCATAAATTCATTTTCAAATTCTAATTCTTCATCCTTTAGGTTATAATATATAAAGCAATGTCAGTTTGAATATAGAAATCAACTTCAGATTCAATTTAAAAATGTTATTATTTATTTGAAAAATATAAAACGTTTCGGCTCAAAAGTCTTGGTCAGGTATTATTTTTTTACAGGAAAAGAAATATAAAAAGCAAAACTCACTAAGTCCAATTTTCTATCTTTAATACATAGAACTAATTACATGTACATAGATATGACATAAGTAATCGGGATGAATACAAAAAACAACAACATGTCAGCCGCGTGGTTTATTTATAATTTACATGTTTTTGCGTATTACCTTTTCAACTAACTTTTACTTACAAAATCAAGAAAATATACATTCATGAAAAGTATTAACGCACAAAAACAACAAATTATCTTATTTCAACAAGATAATAGCGTACCTGATTAAGTTCAAAGTTCAACTGATTAAATGTACTTCCGAGTTTGCACAACTTTTTTAAAGTTTTTTTTTATAATTCAAACCATTACAAATAGGTTGTTTCCATGTTTAATCAACGTTAGGGGAAACAAATATTATACTTATTTTGGCCTAGTTTAACAAACGCCCTTGCAAACTTTACATGTTATAAGATATATATATATATATTATACTTCACTGGGTATTTATACGATTATACTACACTAGATCGTACCTGCTACATTATTCAAGGATACTAGTATTACAAATGGCGGGCATTAAAGTAGGAGATAAGAAATTGTCTTTATGTTGTTTTATATTTTTCTTACATGCTTTTGGTTCTTCTGGACAGGTCATCGGAATTGGAGGATTGATAATAAATGTTGTGAGGACCGGTGTGGAGATTGTGAAGATTGTAGACAACAAAGGCATGCGTTTGTCTCACATTAATGACATCGTCGATGGACTGAAAGGAAATATCAGATCATCGACTAGTGGAATTAAGACAAGTATCGGTCTTTCTTCAAGACTTGGTTTAATAGACGACACCGTGATTAATATACATAGCTCATTAATTGATGTAGTGAATATTTTAGAGGCCACGACCATGACAAACAGAGACGAATATACACGTTTATTTGTCAAACGCTTTGAAGACAATGAAATGATTAAATATATACGCTTTCTACCACAGCTTCTGACATATAATATACCTGGAGCATCTGGGAAGTTGATTGATTTGCTAGCAGACAACACTCGATGCAATATGACGTCACTCGATGCGTTCAAATATTTCTATGTGAACCTCTTGTCAGATGGAATAGCTATCGACCTACTTTACTTACATTTAAGCACTAAACTTCCTTTGAATAAGACAATTAATGAATGGAATGCATCGCTTATAAAAGTAGCAAATATCTTTGATAATAAACAAGCATCTTGTATGACGAAATTTCCTGAATTCGCGCAAGAGGACGTGAACAATGCTGTTGCTGCTGTTACACTTTGGTCAAATAATAAACAAAGATACCCATGGAAAAGATCGGATGTCATCTTTTTAAAATCGATGGGCACTTTCCAGTTTCTGTACCACAAGTCGAGAGAAAATCATCTCTTTTGGCAAAAATCTTCACCGAGAGTTAAAATAGCTGTATTCAACGATATCAATGACACCTTTGTTAAACCAGATATTTTTGTCAATTTTTCACAAACACTCAAGTCATCTATGGAAGGGAAATGGGATGATGAAGCCGCCCTGCATGTCGGACAGCTTGTAGAAAAACATCTTGAGGAACAAGGATTGGCTATAACTTCCCTTGTGGTTTTCTTCGAAGGTGGAAAGTTTTCTATCGAAAATGTCCAACTCGATTCTGGTAGGTTTATTTAACTCTTTGAGGAATGGGTTTTCTTTTAAATGCCTAGTTCATGTTTAAACTTGTATACAATTATGAGGATTCTTATATTTATACTGTGTGACTGTACAAATTCAAATAGTTATGAATACTAGAAACAAACTTACTTTATCTTATAAATGCTTGCTTATAACAAAATTTTATTGTAACGACATCATTTACAAAACGTTATAGGTTTAACACAATTATATATTGCACGTTACAGATTCACAAGTCATTCAGTTAACCATACAAGATGTCAAACTGAGTCACTGTACTGGAAGCTCTTTCATGTGTACTTTGGATGTTAAGAATTGGTTCGGTGGAACAGAAGAGGTTTCCGGTAAAATGAATGTATTTGCGTACTTGACCAAAGCAGATTTGGGTCGGGAGTATACTGTTGAGAAGCCAACGTATAAAACCGGATTAAGTGCCCGAAATCACCCCGTTTCTGTAGCCGTTTATTTGATAACTGTTTTATTTATTTTTGCAATTGAGTTCCTGTAAATGGATTTTAAAGATTTAATAGGAGTGTCGTCCAAATAGTTATAAGACTAAATCTTCTGACTTCATATTGCATTAAATTTCGAATATGTTCATATGTACGGCGATCATTAAACAATTTGAGCTTAAGTTAACTATATAATTATTTGGAAAAGCGTTTCTTCCATATTTACCATGGTTACATGTTCCCGGCGCACAAAAAAATTGAAAATATGGCAGGGTCGGTTTGATTGAACCTATACATCGACGGTACTGTCAAGTGAGAACTGCCGTCTACGCCCTATAGCACCGGCATTTATTCATGGTAATTGTGTAATTTTGAACATCAGTGATTACGTATTACAAGAAAATTGCAGATATGATAGGTGTAAACTTTGAAAATGTGATATTTTATGTATTACGATTTACGATGTATTTTGATGAAATCCAGTAAATATTTTATATTGCATTACGTTTATTTTGGGTGATTTTGTTATTGTTTTATTTTCATTTTTATATTGCCATATTGTGATATGTTTTGTGTGTTCTATGAAATAGAATTTATAAGTATCTGTTTATTGTGAACGCTATTTAAGATCCATGATTATGTTTTAGAAAGGCTTTTATTTTCATTTCTCTAAACATTTTTAATTTTGAGTTACTTTTATAGCTTCTGAAAGGTTACTTATTGGCCAAGTTCATGAACCATCTTTTTATCTGTTGCTTTTTTGCAATAAGTGCATTTGTAGTGAATAAGCCCTTTGTATGGCATGTATGGAAGTTTAAATACAACTATGCGTACATTTTGCTACTTTTATGACAAATTATTCCATATAGTTATATTGCAAATTCCTTCGGTAAAAACATTTAACATTTTCTAACACCATTATTTAATTCAAAGTGTAATAAAATCATGTTTGTCATGTATTTGTTTCTGATGCACAACGTGCCTTTATCTTTCCTGTACTAAAAGTAATAACAATTTACGTGCTACCAATTTAATTGTGTAAATACGTTCTAATAAATTTTAGCCGGCTTAGTGTTTTAACTTTTTTTTATAGATAGTCGCTTTACTAGACTGATAAACAGTTTGCCAATTTACCAAAGTAAATGTGTTACGATTCATTTGAAGTAGATAATGGGCAAAAAATAATTTCAAACACTAGCATGATATTTAATTACGTTAAATCTACTTAAGATACAATACATTTGGCGTGATTAGGGTCAGTTGATGTATATAAAAAGGAGTAATATTTCATATTTTTGATTCGTTGATTCTTTTAAAAACGAAATCTACTTTAACAAAAATAAGTTTATCATAGAAATAGATCGTAATCTAAGCGCAATAACTGGTTAACTCCTATTAAATTGTATAAGGAGTTAACCCGTGTTTGCACTAAGGTTACGAAATAATACTTAAACTTTGTTTGTGTTACTTATATTTCATACCATTGTTTTTTGTGTTTTTTTTCGTTAACCTGTATTTTTACTATTTTAAGTATTTCCATTGTGTTTGATATTTTTGTTCAAATTACAATAATAATAATAATTGATAATAATAATTATAATCATCATCATCATTATTATTATTATCAACAAAATGCACAAGACGGCTGTGTTACAATGATACTAAGGATGATAGTTATATAATAGTTATAATCATGTGAGAAACAAAAAAATAAGCTTGAAATGTCTCGTTTGATAAATAATTTAAATCGAACTTTTCCTTTTTATAATAACCTGGACAGACAGAAACGAAGACATATCGTAAAAGCGAAATATTATCCAGACCGTATACAGGTTCTAACAAATTAACTTTCATTTCAGTAATAGATGCTAACTGTAAAATTTATAATGTATAAATATAATTAATGAAACATTTTTGGATTCAACTTCTTCGAATGACAAGAATATTGCTTTTCATTTTCCAATATTTTTTCTATAGCTTATATTAGAAATAAATGAAAAAATAAAACGTTTCATATTTGAGATTTGGATTTGCATGTAAGAAAAAGAAAATGCGCAGGATACTTATAGTTTCAGATGTTACACTGATGAAAGGTGTGAATATTATTAATATTATCAGTCATATGTTGCGTCCAGATCAGAATATACGTCCAGAGGATGATCCGCTCAAGGGCGGGAACCCGAGGGGCGGATATTCCAATCCGAACCGCAAACATGTGTCAGATATTTTTTCTTGCATATTCTACCATATTCCATTATATTTTAAACTCTTTACCTTATAAAACAATTTTCCGTGGATATTTATATCATTACATTCGTAACTTCTGCAGTTTCTTACAATAGCGTTTGAAATTCATAACTGTAAAATTACGTCATCCTAAGCGTGCCACTGTACAGCACGCGGCTCATCTTGCACCACTCATACCAGATAAAATTTCAGGCATGGGTAAAACTGACGGAAATGCCAGTCTGATTTGCAAGAAATAAATATAACATATCGACGAAAAGACATATTATTTTTAATATCAAAAACAGAAATATTGTAAATATCTTAAGATGTTGTACTTAATATTTCAACAGAAGTCATTACATGTTGCATACTTTCTTATTTCTTCATGTTTCTACAGGTAAATAGTTATATACTGTATTTAATTAATATGGTCATGTCCTTTTGTGTATATTGTTAAAAAAGCTGGGTATTTTGTCGCTTAAAATCAATTGGAATATTTTTAAAAATGTAAAAGAGCTTGAATAGAACAGAATTTCACACCAGCGAAAGAGCACATTTTGTAACTGTATTGATAGCATTGGTGGTGAATATCATTATCTGTTAGAGTTTTTTTGCACTAAGATAAGGGCATTTAGATCACCAATATATAAGAAACCCTAATATTATGACATTTAAATCTGACATGTATACATATACAAAACATTATGATAAGTACAAGCACTTTTGTAGATATGTCAAGGAAATTATTAAAAACTTTTGATAATAGATAATTTTGCAATATGATGTATGTCTAACAATTAATACCACAATGAACAATTTATACCATAATATGTGGCTTGTTATAAAATCTGTCTCATATTTAACGTTTTTAATTTATTTAAGTAACGAAAGTTTTAGATCATTTTATCTGAGTCGATGACAGATCTCATATTGATTACATTATTGTTATTTAATATAAAACAGATGTGATATAAAAATGTGATATGAAAATACGAGATATGTCCATGCATGTTTTCATTGTTATGTATGCCTCTATAGTTAATTTTGTAAATATGTTATAGCTCATATTGTCAAATTATTCGTAAATCGAGTGTTAAATAAACTTGTAAACTTGACATACCTTAGCAGTGGTAAAGAAATTTTTAATTGTTTCAATTTTCTGAATAGTTGTGCCATGGGCTGGTTAAATTATTGATACACTTCACAACATTTCGATAATGGAGACAAAATTTTTTAATTATAATAATTAAGCTTTGTAATCACCCACACGCATGACTCTAATAGGAATATAATTACTTCACAATGATCCCCTCCATTCTTTCTGAAGTTTCAAACAATATACATTTAATTTACTAGTATTTATAATCAAACAATGTTATAAGTTTTGTCTTGATAAAACGCACTACCATGTATTTAAGAGTTATTATTATAGGTCTATATGATATACTAATGTATTTAGAAATATTGATGAAATAAAATACATAGTTTCCTATTTTCACTGTCAAAATTATTTTTTCACTGCAGTGAAACATATTTCGTAATGCCGGACAATTGTCTTCTCAATTCAGCCAATACACGAAATGCAAAAGGAAATCTTTCGAATCTGGCGGTAAGAAAAAAATATACAGACCAATTAAGTTTTTGGTGGTATGAAAATTATCATGTTTCAATCATGGCAACTGGCACCCGTGAAAAAGTTATTTTCATACCGCTTGATGAAAATTAATTCCGTATTAATAATAATAATAATGAAAAAAAACAACAACAAAAAACAACAACACTTTAATATCCTCCATTTATATTCAACGTTATTGAAGCCACTTTAAAAAAATATCATTTATCCCCACAACAGCGACAATACCTGTAAAACTATTGCATGTAGTAAATTCAATTGGCAATATATCAAGAACAAAGCATAAATGAATTGACCGACCAGGAAAAAAACAGAGAGTGTTAACACTGAGAACTGTATCCATTTGTCAGTTAAGAATATACGTTTTCATGCCACACATGCATTTATGTGTAAACACGTATGCCGCATATTATACAATATCATAATAATTCAAACCTTCAACAAACTCCGTATCAACATGATAATTTCTATCTAAAATATTTCAACAACAACAAAAAAATACCAGACATTTTTTTATTTATAATGGGAAGTATAAATTGACAATTACAATCTGATACAGTTGTCTCCCTTCTAAGTAACAAGACTCAAGTTGTTTGTATTTTCATCTCACTGATGATTATTAGCTTTCCGCCATCTCCTAAAAATATATAAAAATAATATTGAACTGTATGTAGAATATAACCATGGCATGTGAAATTCTGACGAAATTGTAATTCTCAGTTATCAAAGTCTATACTGATCGTTAAGTAAAAACTTAAAGATATGACTGGTAATTCCTATCTTGTTGTTGTTTGCTAAAATACACTCACATGAAAAATTCGAGCACGTGCAAATTCTTTCCGATAATTTTGTGAATTCTTTACGAAAATCAAAGATACATAAAAACATTCAAATACACCAACTTAACTACGGAAGAGCATTAGTGCCAGGTGAATGTTTTTTAGTAACTCGAAATTTCGACTTACTAACCCGAAATTTCGAGTTACTTATCTCAAAATTTCGAGTTTCTAAGTCGAAATTTTGGGTTAGTAAGTCGAAATTTCGAGTTACAAACTCAAAATTTCGAGATAAGTATGTCGAAATTTCGAGTTAATAACTCGAAATTTCGAGTTAATAAAAACATACACCTGGCACTAATGCTCCTCCGTACTTAACACTTCGGGACCCATTTTAAATTTCTTGCTTTCTTGCAAAAACATTTCTTAATTACAAGTTCATCAAATGGAAAGAAAGACACAGTTTTCTTATCCTCGTATTCAAATAATAAACTGAACAACTGCCTGATTTCATGTAATGAGGATAGTTCTTACTATTATCCCACACTTTTTTCGTAGTGCGTATTTCCCATAGGCCTCTGGGAGTAAAATTCTGCTTAAAACACGTTGTCTTCATCTTCAGCGGCACTGTATTGTTTTTGTATTGGACAAAACTCATCGACAATAAGCTATTGCATTGCTTTGCATTATCTTAAAACAACTGAATTATTTTATCTAATCATCTATGTATAGGTTATATAAGTGTTTATAAGTATATACAAAAGTAAGTTGGTAAAGCACGGCGCAAATTTTTAGTAAGCACTAACCAATTTAGTGTTTATTTTTTCTAACGAAACTGATGATTTACTAGACTGATTGAATCAAGTCCATTTACCAAAGTAAATATGTGATGATTCATTTGAAATACTGCAATTCTAGTGGGTAAAAAAAACCTTCAACACTAGTTACCTTACAAAACGTAAAAACAAGTTCGTTTCAAAGATTTTTTTCAAGTATAGTATTTCCTTCTTTTGAAATAGTGATATGCCAACGTGGCCGTTGTTAGAATTGTTTTGGCGGAAAATCCTTTTGGCGGGAAAGCATTGCAGTAAGACTACCTTAAACATTGTATTGACCGTTGTGGGTATAGATTTTGTTAGTTATTTTGTGCTGTGATATAGCAATAGCTGTCATGCGGACATGGAAAAAGTACCCTTTCAATGCATTCATGCATAAATGCCATTGTGAAATTAGTAACATAACATTAAGGACTTTTCTGACACGGTATACGCGTCTAATTTTTAATTAATCTTTACGAGTCTGGATACTAACTATTTACATTCGTAAGTTCTTTTGCTATCAAGTTAAAATTCAGATATTCCGGTTCTGTTTGTTTAACCATGCCTTCTCCTACACATTATAATTTCTATATTGCCATGCATCATCCTACAGATTATTTTATGCTGCCTCAACGATTTATAAGTTTGGTCAAACATTAACGAAACCACCACTTACAAGCACGTCCAAGATCGCGTTAACTCATACGTATGAAAATAGCGAAAACATACAAGGAAAACGAACTTATCCGGTTTTATCAGTTATTCATTGAAATGGATACAAAGTTTATAATTTTCATGTATTTTACATATTCATGAAGTTTTTATATATTAGTAACCGCTAACGATTGAATAATTTGTTAATAATAAATGTTTGACAAACTATTTAGGTAAGAAAGCTTACTTTCGGTTCTTTTTTTTTTCTCGTATTTTAGGTTTCTTTCGTTATTCCAAAAGTGCAAATCTATTATTTCGGGTATTTCGTATCAACAAAAAGTTGTCATTTATAAACTTTCCAATAAAATTTCGATTTGAATGACTTCAATTACATAAATGTTTTTTTCCTTTTAGCTTAAACGACGTTCACAATAAAAGAAATAAAATAATTATATTACCGTAAAAAATGAACTGAGACGAAATAAATTGAGTACGGAATGAAAGGTTGTGTTTGGTTTCTTATTTACTTCTTTACTTTTACACTCTATATTTTGTTTCTACTTAAAAAGTTGTTCCAACATATGTATATATTTTAATATATTTTAAAAATTTAACGTAAAATAAATTCAATAATATGCCCTTTAACATAATCCTTATGATTCTATTTCCATGTTCCCTAAGATACGATACGCAAATAAACCAGTTTTAGAGCGGCCAAGTAATTCTTTTAAAGTTACTTATTGTCAACATTCTTTTTCAAATTCCTAAATTCTAACGATGTTTCTGAGAACGAACTTTCCTGAACCTCGTCATGGACTCACGATGTGCACGCTTCAATCATTTGGCTATTTAAGTTATCTTTCAAAGTCATTCAATAACTTGTACTTTCATATCCTCAAAGAATGCAGAATGCAACTTGTACTTTTATATCCTCAAAGAATAAGAATGCAACTTGTACTTTTATATAGATTGCAACTTGTACTTTTATATCCTCAAAATCATGCAGAATGAAACTTTTACTTTTATATCCTCAAATAATGCAGAATGCAACTTGTACTTTTATATCCTCAAATAATGCAGAATGCAACATGTATTTTTATATCCTCAAAATCACGCAGAATGCAACTTGTACTTTTATATCCTCAAATAATGCAGAATGCAACTTGTACTTTTATATCCTCAAATAATACAGAATGCAATTTGTACTTTTATATAGAATGCAACTTGTACTTTTATATCCTCAAAGAATGCGGAACGATTCTGTTTGTCTTGTTAGGTAAAGTTGTTAAGAATTATGAGCAGAAAACAAATGTATTCGTCTGCAAGTTTTTGACATTGTTACCATCTACGAGCGCTTTAAACTAAAGTTTTGTTATGGGGAGGTTTTTGAATTGTTTGCTAAGGTAAATAACTCTTAACAAATGCATGGCAGTTCCGAATTTAACTCGCAATATGTAATATGATCGTGTTATGTCCTATGTGACTATTTAACATAGCTATCTGAAGGTCTTGTTAAAAAATGAGTGAATTTTGTTTCTCTTATTTTTGAAAAATACATACGGGTGGTTTGCACGAAAGAGAAGTCAGAATAATTAAATATAATAACGTTCAATGCACATTATTTGAAAGATAACACGTGGGTTACTTTGACTTGTCTAATGACAGATACTGTTATTCACCGTTTGATAATTTTACAATACTGTGTACATATACCGATAACAATACTATTATATACCTTATCACTTAATTTCCTGTTTTGGTGAGAAAAAAGCCATGAAGATTTGATTCAAGATCTCAAGTTTACATTCTTTATGTTTTTCTTCGATTTGTTTTCTTTTGTTTCGTTCTACTTTTATCTTATTTTCCTATAAAAATGATAACATATTTTATTTTGGATGTAACAATTTATTGAATTATCTGTATCGCCAAAATCTGTACCGATGTCTAGCTAGAAGTGGAGAGAATTTAAACAAGCTTTGAGCTTCCAGTTCAATCCACTTTATCATGATTTTGTATAAATATTGTGTTTGGTGTGAATATTGTAACTTGATGAAAAAATAAATATGTTTAAACCAAGTTTACATTTTTTGTTGAAAAATATTGCATGACTTTTGTTATCTGGTGTTTCTGAATCATTTTATTATTTTATTTTATTTTAAAGGTACATTATACCCCAGAAATCCATAATATAGTATTTTGGCTTCCAAATAAAGTACTAATTCCCTATGATTGTACCTATTGCTAATATAGCAACAGAACCTTAATAATAAACGAGTATTAATTGTAGCAAGATACCAGAAATTTAAATTTTTATGAAATAAAAATGATAAAATTTCTCAGGCTTAATAGGCCTTTAATGTTTCGGAGCTAGGTTGACCTTTAGATAACTCAAGTGTGCTTTATGTCCATTTTGACGGGGACATTTAATAACTTTGGAATTTAATTTGATAACACATTTAGTGTGGCTATAAAATGTATTAGTATTTGTCAGTATCCCTGGGATAAATCTGTTATCGTAATTGCCGAGAGTGAGACGAACAGTGCCGAAAAGATGATAAATCATTGTGCAAATAAAGAAAATATATTCTCTGATATTTCGTTTAAACTGTTTATCAATCCTAATCGCATGAGGCATACATGTACATTTATATCATGCTATATATTGTGATAGTGTTGTAAATGGATGTAATCTAAATATTCGTGAAATTATCAAAATAAATGGCTCTCGGTCGTCTTAAGTTTATCATTTATACGTTAATAGTTGTCAAAGGAGAGGTATCGGTGTTGTTTAATCAGATTTTAGATATTAATAAAAAAATGAACGCCAAAAATTTGCAAACATGTCTTAACTCTCGAGCCATCACATTGGCGTCCGCACCGAAGCGTGACGCCCTTATGGAATGAAAACAGATTTTGTGAAAGGAATATTGCAACTTCTCGGACCTTTTCGTCGGTGATAATAGCCGATCATTCCGATCGATTTGTATTAGTTCACTAGCTGTGTTGAATTCGTTCGCGACGGTTATTATTTGTTGGAATAGAGTACAGAGGAAAGTATGTTGATTTCCTCTTAAATGTTAAGCTAGAAAATTGACGCTGGATCTTTATACGTGTAAATATTGGTTTTATTGTATGTATTTCTACAATTTGATAGACAATGTTCATGCTTTAAACATGGTGTACATATTTTACGGATTTATCGACATATTTGTACCCGCGATAAACGAATTGAGGACTACTTTGTTATAATTAAACACAGTTTTGTGATTTCTGCAGACAGGGCTTACACTGCGACACGAATATGAATAGAACTGATATGTTATCTATTTGATGAATAGTATTCAAGTGTACAGATCTTACAAAACCGAAGTTTGATTGCATTATTTCAGATATATACAAATGGAGAGCGTTAAATTAGGAGATAAAAAGCTAAGTTTTATGTGTTTATGTTTCTGTCTGTGTATATTTGGCTGCTCCGGTCAGGTTCTTCAGGTTGCAGGATTTGTGGTCAATGCTTTAAATACCGGTTTAAAACTCCTTAAACTTTTCAATGGCAGTGACGGACCACATCGTATGGATAACAGTGACATCGTTAAAAAACTACAAGAACGTATAAGCGCTTCGACTGAAACATTTAAAACCAGTCTTGGACTTTCTGCAAAACTTGGCCTCATTGACGATACCGTTATAGATATACACAGCTCATTGGCTGATATAATAAATATTTTAGAGGCGAAGACCCCAACAGAAAGAGATGAATATTCAAAGTTATTTGTCAAACGCTTTGAAGACAATGATTTGATAAAATATATTCGATTTCTACCAGAGCTTCTTACATATTCCATTCCAGGTGCCCAAAGCAAACTTATCGATTTGCTAGCAGATAATACGCGATGTAATATGACGGCGCTGGACGCGTTCCGGAAGTTTTATGTCAACCTCTTGTCAGAAGGAATATCAATTCATCTGCTATATTTACACCTAAGCACGAAACTTCCACTGAATAAGACAATAGCAAAATGGGACGCATCGCTTGAAGGAATAGCAACTATTTTCGATCGTAAACAGGCTTCTTGTATGATGAAATTTCCTGTATTAGCGCAAGAGGATGTGAATAATGCTGTCGACACCGTTACACTTTGGTCGGACAATAAACAAAGATACCCTTGGAAGACCTCTGACGTCATGTTTTTGAAACCATATGGCACTTTCCAGTTTTTGTATCACAAATCTAGAGAAAATCATCTCTTTTGGCAAAAAACATCAACAAGGAATAAAATAGCTGTATTCAATGATATAAACGAAACACTGATTTTACCTGAAGTATTTGTTAATGTTTCAGAAACAATAAAGTCATCTATAGAAGGAGAATGGGATGATAACGCTGCCCAGCATGTTGGGCTTGCTGTTGAAAAGCTCCTGAATGATCAAGGTTTGACCATAAATGCCATAGTCGTTTTCTTTGACGGAGGAGATTTTTCATCCGAAAAGATCAAAATCGATGAAAGCAAGTATTTTTGCAATATATTTCAGTTGACTTCGCTTTGCTTTGCTTGATTCATACATGAATAAATAGGAAATAGGCTATATAATATTTGCACACTGAAAGCTAATACGATATTCATAGCTGTATTTTGATACTCTCATTCATTATAAGACTTTTCACCAAGTTCAATTCATTATTCAATCATTATTTCTTGTTTTGCCATTTACAGAAACGCCAGGCATCCAGTTGGTAATAGAAGATGTAAAACTCAGTCACTGTTATAAAGACGTCGTTAGCTGTAGTTGGTTTAAAGACACAAAAACTGTTGCCGGAAAAATGAAAGTATTTGCATACATAGCAAGGCAGACTACAGACAACCCAACATACAAAACAGGATCTAGTATCAGAAACAACCCCTTATCAGTAGCCGTTTACTTGTTGTTGGTTATTTTATTTCGTATAGTTTTGTAAACTCTTGTGAAAAAATCGTGTATGTTGCTTTGAAACGCAGAACCCTTAGAATGTAAACCTGTAATAACTTTGCTTTGACATCGCAAAAGTGCAAAACCATTATAAATCAAAGCACTGAAAGTGCTGTATGCTGTAAGCCCGAGAATTGTAAAGCATAGGTAGACAGACTATTCGCCCTTACTAGTTCCTTTCTTGACATTCCTATAGCATGTCGTCTGCTAGTTCAGAAACTGTTTATCGGTTATTCAAATGCCATGAGAAATTCAGTACAATTCAAATGCTATGAGGAATTCAGTGCCATTCAAGTTCCAAATGGAATTCAGGGTGCTTCATATTCCATGAGAAATTAAGTACAATTCAAATTCCATGTGGGATTCAATATGCTTCATATTCCGTGTGAAATTCAGTGCAATTCAGAGTCCATGTATTATTCAGTGTAAATCAAATTCCATGTAAATTCAACACAATTTCAATCCATGTACAATTCTGTAATTTAATATCAAATTTGTATTTATACCATGAAAAATTTAGTATGTTGCAAATCAATCCATCTCTGAATACTGCACAAGGTATATCTGGAACATCATGGATAATGAAAAAGTTCACCATCCCTCAAACTCTCTAGCAAAGATTTGTTTCTGTACAGTACGTTTGAAGCGATTTTATATTATTTCACCGATAGTTTTGGAAGCTCTTTCTCTTTAAGAAAGTAAACTAGGTTTCATTCTGTTTTAAACAATACATTGCCGCTTATAGCCTAAATGTTCCCTTTTATTGAAAAATTGCAAAACAAATCACATTTAATTGAAATAATTGGATAATGTTTTGTTTATATAGTTTAATATGTGACTTTAATTTCTAGTATAAATTTTACGCTAATTATATTTGACCTGAATTGTAGATATAATTGTTAATATGATGGTTTTACTAGAATAAAAAATATTGTTTTTCAAATAAATTTTGTTTCTGTTCAATGCATACCTATAATGAACATGGCATCATCACCAAATCGGCAAATGGAGCTGTATTTTTTCGTATTGATTGTCGATATTTAACGGATATGATTATAAGAGAAATTAATACAAGATTATTTTCAGATGATAGCTTTCTCGCAGTTTAACCATCTTAAATAATACAAACATTATTTAAGATGAAAAAATTCATTCAATTTGCAGATTGAGTCATGGAATAATAGCTGGTCAATATTAATCCTTTCAAAACTGAGGCTGTAACTTTCTTTTGGGTAGAGTCAGAGTAATTTTTTGTTACCTGAAACTTTAATAAAATAATTTTCTATTTAATTTTTGAAATCTCATAAACAGAACAGAACAGTTTAAAGAATGGAAAATTTAGGACTGAATTATTCGTCCGGTGTTTAGAGAGTTCCGATTTTCTCAGCGTCCGGTTTTTCAAATTTCACTGTATAATCTTTATTAAAGTCTCATCTGTATAAAGCATATGGGACAATTCAATTATAATTTGTAAAACATAAAGTTATAAAATTGCCTGTGTGATGATTCTGAACATATTGAAAGGGTAGACAACTCCTCCTCAGCCCACACTGCATAGTGAAGAGTAACCTCTCTTTTGTTAGCTAGTTAGCTAAATAACCACAGCTAGCCTCGTCCAAAAGGAATTCTAATGCACATAGCGATTTTGAAAGAGAACATGCTAGCAAATTGTTTTAGTTTTAACTAAATGTCAAACATTTATAGAACTGATTAGCAGCTGTTTCTTAACATTTGACTCTCATATATTTAAAAAAATCTATTTTGAAATTGTAATAAAGTATACCCGACATTTACAAATGTTATTGGATAAATCCAAATAGTTTACTTAAACTATTCCATTTTGTTATATACATCATCTAAATATCAACAGCTAAAAGCTAAAATACACTTGTTTATCTGTGATTTTCTTTTTTTAACATGTTTATTGTTATCTTAATCTTCATTTTCCTGTGATGATTTATAGATTGTGTAAGAAAAAAGATTAATATGTGAAGCAAACTCTATGATCAAGCCAAACATTAGTTGTTGATACACTTTGGGAAATAAATAGTTATTTATCAAATTTTTTAGAGTGGTTTGAAATCTTTGAATCAATGATAATAATAATAAAAATAATGATAATAATAATAATTATAATAATAAAATTGGAAAACGTGTATCTTTGCCGGATACCATTTTTAAGGGTTTTTTTCCTGATAATATATAATTGAAAAGCCCCATTCACAATGTGCTACTTTTTACGAACTCACACAGATTTAACAAATAATATATACACTTTCTAATAAATATGTATACATTGTAAATTGCTCGGTAAAATTTTTAAATAATATACACATAGGTAACCATACAGTATTGATCAAATTTTGCAAAATGACAATATCAACGACTCACGTGAGTAATAATCTATACTAAACGTTTGAGTTAATACCTGGATACCCTAGCTCCAGATCTTCACCATCTAATTTGTATAAAGGGCTAAATGAAACATTTGCAAGAAGAAAAACAGTTTTTTTATTTACAACCACCAAACCCGAGTTAACAACGGATTTCCCACAGTACATACTTCAAGCTAGTGAGATTTATCGATAAACTACCGTTAGCACAAAATTTGCTGATAAATTTTCTCTTAAATTGATTCTATTTTGTATAAGCTTTGCAGGTATGTAATTTTTTCAAGAAATATTGAGTTTAAATAAATGTTTGAAGCCGTCAATATTTTGCAACTGCTTAAATAACACAACATTATATTGACACCACGATTAATATTAAAATGGAGAACCATCCTCTTGAACCCATCCCCTTTGTTACAAGGAGATTGAAGATTAAAAGCTACATTAAACACTTTAAATTTATCTATGTCTTGCACACATTATTTTCAAAATAGTACCATTTAAGCGCGCAGAGTACAGAAACTCAACACAGTCCAAATATCAAAGGAAGAAAGAAAAAGATAATTTTTTTGTTAACTATTTTGCTTTCTTCTTTACTTTCTATTCATATTCTAAGAACTCATTTGAAAAAAGAATGTTTTTTGTTTACAAATATACAGTACGTACAGACTGGTATCTTTTTATTTCAATGACCTACCAAACTGCGCATGAGCGAGAAAATAATGAGTCTGATCGATTTTGCATAGCAACGGACCGCGTCGTAAAAATGTTTATTGCTCTTTCACCACATGTCGTGTTTATTTTAAAACACGTGTTTTTCCAATGACGTGTACGTTATTTCTGCTCTTATTATGCGCATTTCAGTTAAATTTCGTGTTCACTCTGATCAGGTAACTGTTACGTGAATTAAGGACCCCAAATTAATTTGGTAAAATTTGTTGATTTTTATGGATTTAAATAAAGGTTACAAGAAAAAAAAGCATAATATTTTTCGATAATATGAAGGATCCCAGTATACTTGATGAAGCATCATAGTTGTATGTACTACCAAGGGCATTCAACGTTAAAATATTTCATCGACATCCGTTGCGGATTTAACAAAATGGCCATTGTAAAACTGGATATTAAAAAACTTTTTTTCATGTGCTTATTTGTTTGCTTGTCTGAATGCAAAGGTTCTGGTAAGGGTAATAAGATTGGAGGACATGTTGTCAATGTTGTGGGAATCGGTTTGGAAGTACTTAAGATTGTGACAAACGTAATTGCTTACGAAGACCCTACACATATTAATGGCATCGTCGACAAATTTCAAAAAGAGATTACAACATCTACAAATGAAATTATAATATCTATTGGACTGCGTTCAAAACTTGGCCTGATAGACGATGCTGTTGTAGGTATTCACAGCTCATTGAAAGATACAGTGAATATTTTAGAGTCAAAGACTCTCACGGAACGAGATGCATACAAACGGCTGTTTGTGAAGCGCTTTGAACAAAATGGAATTATCAAATATATTCGATTTCTTCCAGAGCTTCTTTCATATACAATTCCTGGAGCATCTGGGAAGTTGACTGATTTGCTAGCAGACCATACACGATGAAATATGACAGCACTCTATGCGTTCAAATATTTTTATGTGAACCTCTTGTCAGATGGAATAACAATTGACCTGTTATATTTAAATCTAAGCACTACAATTTCTTTGAATAAGACAATCACAGAATGGAATGAATCGCTTGAAAAGGTAGAAAATATATTTTATGCTAAACAGTCGTCTTGTATAAAGGATTTTCCTAAATTAGCACAAGAGGATGTGAAAAATGCTGTCGATGCCGTTACACTTTGGTCGGATAATAAACAAAGATACCCTTGGAGTACATCTGACGTCCTGTTTTTGAAACCGTATGGCACTTTCCAGTTTTTGTATCACAAATCTAGAGAAAACCATCTATTTTGGCAGAGAACATCAACAAGGAATAACATAGTTGTATTAAATGATATCAACGAAACAATAGTTGTATCACAAGTATTTGGCAATGTTTCAGAAACCTTTAAGTCGTCTATAGAAGGGAAAAACGATGATGAAGTTGCCCAACATGTTGGACAGGCTGTAGAGAAACATCTTGAAGATCAAGGTTTGACTATAAATGCGATAGTAGTTTTCTTTGATGGAGGGGAAATGTCAAACGAAAAAATCCAAATCGACAATGGCAAGTTTGTTTTCGTTACTTTGCTTGTTTCATGTTCATTTTAATATTAACTTGATCGTGTAAACACAAACAATCATTTATATGTACTTTAGTAATATCATATCGTATTTGTACGAATTGTCTTTATTTTGCCTCCAAAGTTTATCATTTTTATTGACATTTACAGAATCACAAGTCATACAATTTTCATTAGAAGACGTGAAGTTGAAATATTGCTATGGAGGTTTCTTTGCCTGTGCTATCGACTTTCGTAATTGGTTTGGTGGAACACCAGAGGTTTCTGGGAACATGACGGTACTAGCATATGTGATCAACACAGGAAAGGGAAATGGAAGTATCACTGAGGAACCATCATATAAAATTGGATCATGTACACACAATTATCCCTTCTCTATGGCCATTTATTTCGTGATGATTGGTGTCTTTCGTTTACAGTTTTAAGCTCAATATGGTCACTTTTTTTAATTCTTTATTAAACTGATAAAATCTTATACCATAAAAAATATATATATTTTGGTATTTCGGACGCTTAAGGATCAATAAAACGTTTAAATAACGTTATTAAGAAAAATATTAGGTTTTTCAGTCTCTCAATTAAAGTGTAATATATTCCGTTTTTTTAATTGGCGTTGAAATAATTAGAATTGATCGCAGAAAAACACGTTATCAAATAAATGGATTATTTTATTGTTTTCTTTCTAAAATTTAGAATTTTCATCTATTTAATGACAAAGAGATGCTAAACACTTTTATAGTATAATAAATGCTATGTTAACTATATAATCATATTGCCTGTTATTAAGTATGTATTAAAATACTAGTTGTTTTGCATAACTTATTCAAACCGTGACATGGTAACTTATGAGACTGCTGTTAGAATGATTGTTCAGTAAGTACTTTTAGGAAGACGTCTCAGTACACTTATACAACAACAATAATTTTAGCTATTTTCCATGTTTGTTTGTGTAAGGACAATACTTTTTCCATTATGTGAATCTATATGAAAATATGTATGTGCCTATAATAGTATGTGTTTGACGCCCTGTTAAATTAACAGAGAAAGACTAAATACAAGATGAATTTTCATTGGTCATTTTAAAATTACAAACTGAAATCGGTGAATCTCATTGGTCATTCTAAATTAAAATGTAAAGGACACTTCTAAGCATTCTAAAATAAAATATGAAGGATAATTCTTACCATTCTAAAATCAAATTTTAAGGATAGTTCTATGATAAAATGTAAGGTATAGTTTTGCAATTATAAAATAAAATGAAAAGGATAGTTCTAAAATAAAATGTACAGG